TGCTGTGGCCCATAGACATCTACATTTATCCTTGATTAGGAATCAAAACTCAGATGCGTTGTCACCCTGAGGACTAAGATGGGATGCCTCGTTTCCAGTAAAAAAGGGTCTCCGGATCTCTCTACACTCACCATACGAAACACAGCAGTATTAAGCTGCTATTTTACAATGGTATTCTGCGGTGTGGTCCTTCCCCGGTCGAGCCGACCCATTCGTGCTACAACCATAATATGGCTACAGCGTGGCTCTACCACGTATAAAGTCAATTAATTACAAATGCTTGGAAAATGAAATTACTGATATAATATAATATGTAAATCTCTCAAATTCTAAATTAAAATAAACTGTGAAAATTATCTATGTTAATTATTATGACAATACAATGACTTAGAAGCTTATAACCTATTTTGTATTTTTGATGATTTCAAAACGATAATTACGCAATTAATAATTTTAATGATTTATATAAGAATTATTTAACAATCCCCGAAAACGGTAGTTAGGGTCTCCGCTCAACTTATAGGTTACTTTTTGTCCGATTATGGAACTTCTTAAAAGGAGGGTTAAGTATTTTTCTTCCTTTAGAAATGTTAATTTCTATTTTCTATCATCAATCATATAAAGTATAAATTAACATTTATTAAAATAAAAACAATAATTATAAATAAAGCCTAAAATTAGTTTTAACCGTTGCATAATAAATTGAACTACGCCGACAATCTACATTTCACTTTTTCAAAACAGTGCCAACTAACGTAAAATACAAAAGTAGTGACATTTTGCTTACTAATAAATTAAATATTATAAATAAGTTACATTTATGTGTTTAGACTTTAGATAATTAAATTTATAACTGATTTGAAAATTGTAGCGTTAATTTTTAAATTTTTCGTTATCTCATTTTAGTAGACATAAAGAAATTTTATAGTAACTAATTACTACTTAAATGAATAATAGTGACATCTATCGAAAATCATAAATAAAATTAAGGATTTTTCTAAGTTTAATTTCTAATCAATAAAAAGTTTTTATTCGGTAAATTTTTTTTGTAATTATCCAGACCGGTGGCCACTGTCCGCATGATTTAACATGATTGTTAATTTTATCAAAGTTACTAACAAAATTGTGTACACAAATTAACTATAATTAAGAGAGGAGGTCTTTAGTTGAATATGTTATGTGTCTATCGGCATAGCAATATTTCACCAATTTCGTTTTTTATCAAGTCTGGTATATGTAATTGAAAATTAGGTGCACTGTGAAATTTTTATCTATAATTGATGGAATAGTTCGTGATACCATTGACGCAGCCTTTTTTACCTTTAATGAGACTTTTAAAACAGTTTTTCATATATTAAGATCGCTTTCATATTTTCAGACATAACTATTAAAATTATTGTGACAGTCCCGGTTTCACAGCTCACATAATTAAATGAACAAGCTCTTGCGAAGAAGTACTATGAATATCAAAGGAAGAAAACTTTAAACCCAGCTCTATTTTAATTTTAACTTTGAGTAGAACTGCATAGATAGATTCTTGAAAGTTAGCTATCAAAGCCGGTAAACAAACCGAGCTACCTACGTAAATTTCGTAGTAGATATACGTAAGCAAAAGCGATGTCTCTCTTATTTTAATTGCAATTTGAATTTTCTATTTACCACGTTCTCGAGGAAACCTGCATATCTGAGAAGTTAAAAAAATATTGCGGAAGTAATTTTTAGGTATTTGTCCTACTGTTTGTTAAATAAACCGAACATTTGTTATTCAGGCTTGGTAAGCGTTATTTGTTATTCATTTGTTATTCAGGCTTGGTAAGCGTTATTTGTTATTCATTTGTTATTCAGGCTTGATAAGCGGGTTGGCAACCGCAGATTTTTATTACTTTGCACTGTTATCAGGAAGACGCTGCCGCCCATCTTCTTCTGTATACTTCTATTTACTATCATGAATATAGTTCTTCTCACACGTTCACCGTGAACAGAACTACGTAGGTATGAAATTTTGAAATCAACTCGAACGTAAAAAATATACTGGTATATTTTAAGGTGCCAATCAATATTCAATGGGGCCAATATTAAAGACCATTATATTGTTATTAACTTATGGTTTGTGACAGTAAAAACTGTCGATTGAGTTACCAAAATTGACACTTTAATTACCGAACACCAATTAAAACTTAAAACACACTAATAAATATTCACACTCAATACTTTAGTTCACTTCATTTCGCTCCGAAATGTTCACTTTCCAATTCAATACTATCCTGGTCACGCTCCTTACCGACTTTATATAGGACCTTTTCCACCGAAAACATCTAGAATGTTCGAGTAGATTGTCGAAAGTTCTAGCAAAGAATCCTTCATAAAGCCCTCGTCACGAGGGCGCTAGTGGGAAAGTTCTAGAAAGATCTTGACATTCCTATTTCTGCCACTTGCTACTAAATGGCGCTAATAATCACCCGCCATATACCGGGCATTAATTATGGTGCGCAACACTATTAAACATTATTTTGTCAAAACTATATCAACTTTAATTATGAATAATATGTAAATAACGCATTTCTGCTTCCAGGCTAATTTTCCCTCCATAACAACAGGCGGAAAAAATGTCCGATGAAAATCGGTGTTGCTAAACGTATGATATTAACGCAATTCTGATAAACTAACTCATGTGTTTCTGAACTAACTTATTGTAACCGAGGTGTCTCTTCAACACAGTGATCCAGTTTTGCTAATTGTAGTACGAGACAGTATTATTGATATTTCTAAATTCAAACCCACGCGAGCGAAGCCGCAGGTAAAAAGTTAGTTTAATCTAAAACTGTAACACAGGAAACTGGCAGATCTCTCAACGTCAAACCCAGTGAACATTGAACTATTTATTCAGAATTTTGATAATAATTAGGAGGAACTAGTTTATATTCCGATTTTCGTATGTGACTGTCACGCACTTCCCAAATTGTACTATAATATTTTTTTAAAACGTTATCCCCACACTAGGTTTTTCTCCTATATCGTGGAGGCAGTTTACATATATAAATTGCACAAGGACAAACATCCAGACCCGGAACAATTACTTGTAGTCCATACAAATACTTGTTTCGTGCGGAATTCGAATCCGCGGCCCTCAGCGGTATAACTCATTGCTAAGCTACTTGGGAGTAGTGGTGGTGGGATTAGTGGTGACGGGATTAGTGCACGCAATTGAGGAAGAGCGGGAAGTGCTCTTCAAAAATTGGTAAGACCCATCATTTTATTTTATTCAGCGGATGTGTGTGAGGTAATTCTTACCAACTTTTACTGTCTGATATCAACATCAGGATAGTGAAGAATGCAACCTATATAAATGCATCTATCGATTTCCTTCACGTCTCACCAAGTCGACGCTACGGCTAGTGGCGGGCCGCACGATTATTTGCTTACTGGTTACTGGTTACTTACTGGAGGCTGCCTCCTGAAGAACTTATTATAAATATATCCTCCAAACACAAGTTCACTTAACTGCTCCGATACGTGTCGAAAGGCTTTGCACATTCACTCTTTTAGTATTTTTTATGTATGAAACTCTCCTCGCAATGTTTATGTGATAGAGAGGAATGCCACCAGCATCCATCCACTTCTACCAGGTAAGACATGCGAGAAGTTCATCTATTGGAGTCCGTTCTACTTTTTCATTACCGATACGAGGCACTTTGCTACCGCCTCGAGGAGCTTATTATTACTACTATTGATTACATAAACATATAAAAGCAAATGAGAAATATTCATTAAATATAGTAAAATAAATTAATAAATACAAACATAAATAAATATAAATCCAATAAGATGGAAGCCCTCGGCAGGAGAGACCAAACGGCATAGGCTTAGTGGGAAAGGGAAATAAACCGACTAACAATATGGGCGGTATCGAGCAGCACCGCTACGTTTGACCCCGGAGATTTAGAAAATACTGTGTTGGCCACATTAAATTACAGTGTTTGAGAGAAAAATACAGTGATTTATGAAAAAAAAACAGTGTATTTTACAATGTAATTTAATGACCTATTAAAATGAAAACATTTTTTATGAAGCAAAATATGCATTTATTTGAAATATACTCATACTGACTAAAGATATTAATATTTTAATACACAAAATAGTTTAATCACTGTGACTGTCAATTTTCTCCCCTTTTTTTGTATGTTAATAGATTTTAGCATCTTGTCAGTTGGTAGAAAATTTACACAGTTGCTCTAAGCTCTTGTGTTAGTCGGCGGACGCATTCGTCGCATTCATAATTTACGATATTTTCCATAAGTAGCGTTCATTTTAAAACGAAATTTTGTTTTGGTTGATAAAAAATACTGTGTCTCCATACGCTGTTTTTATAAAAATACGGTATCCAGTAGACGGCGTGAAAATACGGTAGATATACTGTAATTACAGTGTTCTGCCAACGTTGCCGTAGCAGTACGTCACGGAGTCCCAGTCGCCTTGGATGACCCGAGAGGCTAATCGGGATAAGTCCCTTCACAGAAACGATTACAGGAATAATTTCGGTCGGCAGACTACTTTACACGTCAGTCTCTTCGTGAGCCAGGTCCAGATATTACTTATTATTATTATTACTTCAAAAATTACAATATACTGCCAACAAAATAGGTACTTATCTACTTTGATTAATTAGCGAATGCCCGGCTAATGGAATGTCATAGCTCAGAAGACAACAATTCAGCGTTTTATTTTCTTTCCACTAATGGCACATAAAAAAACATGGCAAATAAAAATCATGCTTAAGTACAAACATTTATTTAACTTCTACAGGTAAGTACAGATTACTAATAAAAATTTAATAAGTAGTTAGTTAGTCGAATCATTATAATGATCAAATTCAGGAAATGGAAATTCTTATATGGTAGTTATATATGAAAAAGTTTAAAAATTAATATGCTGTACATAAAGCCAAGCTTTAAGTAGGTAAATAAATAAGTAATTACATTTATTGTTATTTCTGTGTCAGTTCAAATAACAACACATTCGTGAGGAAACACTAGACCTCGTACAGGAACTGTTGGGCAGGCTGGAATGTTAATTTCGGAATTAGTATACAATGCAACATTTCATAAACTTAAAATAAAATATAGTATTGATACATAACATTAATTTACAAAATCTATAAAGTACTAAGTCTTTTCTTTATATAATAAGGTTGACAAACGAGTACATACTCTACCTTATGGTAAGTGGATACTGTGGCCCATAGACTTAACCTTGATTAAGATTCAAAATGCAGATACGTTGTCCACCGTGGGGACTAACATGGAATGCCTCGTTTCCAGTAAAAAGGATCTACGGTTCTCTACGCTCACCAAATGAAACACAGCAGCATTAGTTGCTATTTTTATTTTATTACTTGCGATATTTATAAAATAATCAATCTTGAACGGCTTGAGACATTAACCTAAATCTTGTCTTGACTTTATTAAATATATTAGGTAGGTACTGAGAAACGAAATAAAAACATCATTTCAAAAAAAAAAATAAAAAAAAATCAAACGTAAACAAATTTTGGGCGTCCTAAAGCCTAATTAGTTTTCATTAGTTGTTTTGTAAACATTTAGAATACAGAATGTCACTGATAGGATTCAATTGTATTTACGACTAGCTGTGCCCGCGACTTCGTTCGCATAGAATTTCTATTTTTTTTTTTCTGTTTAGATATTACTTTATAATAGTTTTATTTCTTAGGACTGTTGATTATATTTTATAAACTACATCACTGTTCAACTCAAACAATAATAGTATTGATAATTTTAACTCCTCATCTACATCATAACCGATGTTAATATCTGCGTCTAGCACATTCTTTTAAGGCAGAATTATTTTGAGCAGAATGATTTCTTAAATTTACGCGAACACTACACACATTGAATAAAACCAAATTTACGGATTATATCGCGTTTAATTAATTACTTTTACTTATTTTTAATTCCCGAAGTTTCAATTCACAATGGAGTTAGAGGCAAATAATTTCTTAGCTTTCCTAGATGTTTTTGTCATTCGAAATCCTGATAACACTATTGGTCACACTGTGTATAGAAAAAAGACCCATACCAACCGATATTTAAATGGTGAATCTCACCATCATCCTTCACAGTTAGCTACCGTGGTTAAATCTTTGTTTCAGAGAGCATGAGGCATCTGTGACAGAAAACATCTGGCCGCCGAGCTTCAGCACGTCAAGCAAGTGTTGCAAAACAACAAGCTTCGGGTCCCGCGCCTACGTCACAGTGGCCGAGTGTATCCGGCCAGAGTCGAGCGTGTGTCTGCTGTTGGTTGGCTACATCTTGAAGCGAGCTTCCATTAAAACATACTACAAGCCGCCGAAGAAGATTAGTCAATTTTTGCCATCCGTCAAGTGTAATATCCCTCTACGAGATACATGAGTGTACAAGATTTTGAAAATAGTCTCTCTTACATAGGTCAAACAAAAAGATCCATAAAAACCCGCGTGAAAGAACATATAGCTGACGTGAAGCACCGACGCTCCGGGAAGTCTGCAGTCTGTTAACATGTTCAAGATCGTCCCCACCATTACATCAGATTTGATAAACCACAAATCCTCGCAATAGAACACCGATTCCTACCAAGGATGATACGCGAGGCTATTGAAATTAAAAAACATGCTAATTTCAATGGGTGCTCCCATCTGCTTGGGATCCTATAATTAACAAAATTAAACCCAAACCCAAGCATACCACTGCAAGACTTCAAGATACTGTAAGCTCGTTTTGCGTAAATCGGGCTAACAATGACATTGGGACGTCAAACATCTCAGTACCTCCCGTAACTATGGGTGCTGTAAAGCACCCGAAACGCCGTGAATTAAAAATAAGTAAAAGTAATTAATTAAACGCGATAGAATCCGTAAATTTAGTGTTATTAAATATTTTGAGCAGTTTACCATTCTAAAGATTTGAAGCTTCGCTTGGCTCCAAATCTTTAGAATGGTAAACTGCTCAAAATGTGGAAGCAGCGAAACAAACTAAATTTCCATTACAGCCTATAAAAGTCTAGTGCTGAACCAACGCCTCCTTTATATATTCCCTCACAGGGGGAAGTTTCTTATAAAATGAGCTGGACGATTTATAAAAAAATTCTGCAACCGTAGTGAAAAATTAATTATTAGTAACGCGATAAATTCTGCACATTCTAAAAACCAAACCCTCTCAGAGATATGAAGATGAACATAGGTCTCTCCTATAGATGGCGTCATAGGGGGATATTTGCCATTGTTGCCATGCTTGGCAAGCGAGTTCCCAGCCGCAGTTTTTAATTTTAGTCGTTATTAGGAAGACTGCTTCTCATCTCCTGGTTTATTTGGTTTTATCGGATGCTATGGTATATTGGATATTCTCACACCGCCGTTACCCGGATAAAAAGTGTACAACTTAAATCTTTGATGTGATTGATATTCAAGCTATACATACAATCGTAAAATGATTAATAAATTTAAAAAAAACATATTAAAATTTACATTGCTGTATGAGTTATTCCACCTAATTCTTTGTGGAAAACAAAAGAGCATAGAATAATCACTACGTTTTAGGGATGACAATAACATTCCTTTTATGTTTAACTTGTGTGAAGGTAAATTAAATCGAAAAAAGTTCTTGAACTTAGAAAGATATTTTCAAATTTGATATTTTTAACTTCACCATTAGCTGGGTTCACACCGCACGATCCAACGTGCTCTAATTGCGCACTCCATAGGCGCGGTAGGTGTGAACTGTGGCCGTGCCTTGCCTCGCGCAATCCAAACTTGCTTCGAGCATGCACTCTATGCCGCGAGCGATCCATTCGTTGTCAGTTTTGCGATCATGCTCAAAGAGGCCTACGTGACTTGTCGTGCGCGGTGCTGACGTTTGTAAGTGGATCAGGACTGTAAATGCTTATGGGACCCTAACCCTAATAACACAAATTACACAAATAAAGGTGTGAGAAACGATGCTTGGCGATATATTCGTCGTGAGATGGATTACCCAGTTGAGGCGTTAAAGAAATAAAATAGATCTATGTCGGGAGGCTAACGGTTTTCGTGATGTTTGTCGTATACTCATATATAATAAGAATATAGGTTGTTGCTGTCATCGATTCACTCTCCACCCTTATCAAATCCTCCCTTAAGGAGAACGAAAGGGTCGTCCCGGTTGCTAACAATAGTGGGCTTCCCCTACATATTAGCAACCTATTAAAAGCCAAAAAAGCTGCTTTCCGGAGAGCAGCAAAATATCCCACCCCCGAATATAGGCGCGCGGCCAATCGTCTTCAACGAGAACTCCGTTTCCGCCTCTCTGAATTTCGAGACCTCGAAAAGAGTAAACTCATGGAGAATATCTCTCCATCTCATACAGCGTACTATCAGATGGCTAGAGCCCTCCGCATAGACGCTATCACCCACACTCCCCCTCTCTCCCGTCCCGACGGCACGGTTGCCTTCGAGGACGAGGAAAAGGCTGAGTGCTTTGCGGATAGCATTGCCGCACAATGCTCTCCTAGCTCTCAACCCGTCGACCCCTCACACGTCCAGGCAGTGGAGGATGAGGTCCGCCGCCGGAACTCACCCCCTACAGCCTCCGAACCTATCTCTGTGTCCAATGATGAGATTTCATCCCTCATCAAAGGACTTAAGCCTAAAAAGACTCCGGGCGCGGATGGCATCTCCAACCAAGCCCTAAAACACTTTCCTGAGCAGGTGTTAACCTTTTTATCTATTATTTTCAACGCCTGCTTCAACCTTAGTTACTTTCCCACTACGTGGAAAGAGGCAACTGTGATTGGTATTCCCAAGCCAGGCAAGCCTCTCAACCTCCCCTCCAGTCATCGCCCCATTAGCCTCCTCAAGGCAATGGGCAAGCTCTTCGAAAGAGTCATCCAAACTCGTATGAGGCGCTATCTGTTTCCCACAGACGGTGACCCTCTTATCATTCCCCATCAATTCGGTTTCCGAGCGCAACACTCATGTCCCCAACAAGTTCACCGTATTGTGGAATATATCTTCAGCGGTTTTTATCCTCGTCGTCATAAGACCATCGCGGTCTTTTTCGACATAGCTAAAGCCTTCGATAGAGTCTGGCATACAGGCCTTATCTACAAACTGTACAAAATAGGTCTCCCCGATCGTCTAGTACGTCTCGTGGCCTCTTACTTAATGCATCGTACCTTTCGTTTTAGACACGAAGGCACGCTATTTTCACAGCAAACTATCAAAGCTGGTGTCCCTCAGGGCTCAGTACTTGCTCCTCTGCTGTACATCTTGTTCACCAACGACATTCCCATCCCGTCGAAAGGTGTTCAGCTCTCCCTCTTCGCAGACGACACTGCTATCTACTGCAAAGGTATCTCACTACCTTTCATACGGAACAAGATTCAAAAGTCAGTTGACGACCTAGGAGCTTGGTTCAAAAAATGGCGCATCGATGTGAACCCGGAGAAGAGCTCCGCCGTTCACTTCGATTATAAACGACGCCGTCTCAAAAACACTCCACCAATACGTATGCTAGGGACCCCTGTCCCCTGGCATACGACTGCCAAATATTTAGGGGTCACTCTAGACACAGGGCTCACTTTCAGGCCCCACGTCAAAAGAGTAACCCGTCACGCACGTTTTTATCTGAGTAGGCTCAACAGCATGTTGGGCCGACACGGTAAAATGTCCCTTAGAAACAAGCGTACCCTTTATAAGGTCTGTATACGACCAGTCATGTCCTACGCGGGCCCCGTTTTTGCCTACGCCGACCCTAAAATTATTAACGAACTCCAAATAGTTCAAAACCTTTTCTGTCGTCGAGCTGCGAACGCACCTTGGTACGTCCGTAATGCCGACCTTCATCGGGACCTAGAGCTCCCCACAATTCAACAATTTCTCCAAAAACTCTCTGAGAACTTCTTCAAAGCCTCAGAGTCGCACTCAAACCATTTAATTCGTGAGGCAGCTACTTATGCAGCCCCACCCCCTCTCGCTATCGAGTCCGCAGGCCGAGAAACTCTCTCTCGGACCCGCCTAATAAACTAACAAACGACCTGAACTGCCTCCTGGCGGCCCAGGCCAACTCTAATTAAATTAAATTATTACTCATAATTAATTTGCCTTCGTAGGCACTCTCTCAGCGGCTCGTAGCCGCCTGCGCCCTCTTTTCCCAAAAGAGGGTCGCTCATGATAAGGCACAATAAAGCTTAATCAGCCGGTTGCCTGTCCCCAAAGGCGGTTTTTAGAGGGTATCACTTAGGGTCCCCGGTAGGATGTGAGTCCCTCATAACCACGATAGACCGGCTATCGTGGTATGCGTAATGCAATTTCCGCCTCCCTACGTCTAGGGTAGCCCTTTAATTGCTTCGGGCGAAAAAAAAAATGTTGCTGTCACGGAAATTTGCCACCGCTGCTGCTTGCTGCACGTGTGACTCCGTAGCGAGAGTTCAACTGACTGATTCAAGGTGTATCTACAGGAGCTGGTTGGAACAGTCCGACAGGATCGTATCCAGATCAGAAAAATATGATTCATGATCAATGCTCCATAATCCTAGATTGCAGTTATTGTTTCAATACGATCCACTGGCGGAGAATCTTAGCACCGCAATTCAGAAAGGGATTCATTTGTGCAACGCCATCTACTACGGTTGTCAGAAAACATAATTTTTTATTTACTTGTTTAAGTAGAAATATATTATTATAGAACGTAATTTTACACAGTAATAATTTGATTATTATTTCTGAGATTTTATGGCGCGTTTGAGTTAATTCGTACATATTTTTTGAAAATATCATATCTTTTGATACAATTAACCGATTTTATTAAAACAAAGATTAAATCTAATGCGAAGACACGCTTTATAATTTTCTTAGCGATTTCAATGAAAAAAAATGTTTATTTGATACCGAATAAGTTCATAAAGAAACAGACAGACAATTCTAAAAATTATAAAACGTTCTTATTTACTTATTTTCAGTCCTCTTAATGATTTTTGTCACAAATATAATATACAATGTATAGATACAGGTAATCACCATCTTTATTATAGGTATAAATTTAAAGAGAGATGGCGCTGTCAACAACAATTCTAAAGATTCTAAAAATAAAAGAAAAATTTCGACGTGATTTATATATTATATAAAACATATCAGAACTTTTAAATCAGTACTGCTGAACAAATACCTCTACAGTAGCATAGGCAAAGAGGAAAGTTCGATCCTAGCCGAAATCAACGTAATGAGGGCAAATTATCTTACGCTCACCAGATGTCGCTAGTTGACACTGAGGTGAAGTTTTTTTTTATTATAATTTAGTTTTTAATAAAAGTTTATCAGTTTCTAGAGTATTATATTGATACACAAAACAATGCCTCTGAGGTTTTTTACTTAATTGTTTGCACATTGTTAGCATTTTTCTCTATTTTAATGAATATCTGTGATTTGGTTTATTTATTTTAAATCTAATTAATGTAAAATATAACTAATGGTACAGAAAGAAACATTAGCCTTTACAATTTTCGAACAAATAAACTTCCCGACTATGAAATTTGTTAAATGTTACACCTCATTTTAAATGACGCAGTCCTGGTGGCACAAAAAGTCGTGGATTATTGTTAATATCATTGTTATTATATCTTTTAAAATTTTATTTAGGTTACTCAACGGCAAAGAAAAACATTTTAAGCAAATACTTTTTATTAAAAATTTTACAAATAAATTAGTTTGTTATGAAGACACATCTACAGGAAAGAAAAACACAACTTGCCTTTATGTATTACAGCACCACCTCTATCGATGATAATGGTTAAATGTTGTACTTTAGTTATTAAGGTTAATTATATTTTTTGCTTATATTTATTACGTTATTCTTTCTTATTTTTGTTTACCGCGTTTCAGATATAATTATATCGTTATGAAAAATTATTTTACATAATTTAATTATGATTTATGATAATAGTCATCAAGCGCATGTTACGCTTGATGAGTCAACGCCGTCATTGAACAAATTCGTACTTATAATTCGAACCCATACTTCAAAATATTAATCATAACTTTTGATAGAATGAACCGATTTCAATGAAACAAAAACTAAATTCAACGCAAAGATACGCTTTATAAAGTCATTGATGATTATTTTGATATAAATTAGTACTTTATACGTGATACGTTAACAAACAAACAGACAGATAGACAGACAATTCTAAAAATGATAGAAATATATTAAGTTACTTATTTACTCGTATAGTCCCTCTCAATCAATTTTGTTATAAAAATATAAAATGTACAGACATCTGCAATTTACATTTTTATTATATATGTATAGATTTTTCTACAATTTACCTTTTTCGCAACGTTGCCCATAGTACCCTGTACCCTCACACTTGCAAGCATAGCCCGGCTCCTGAACTGTCTGGATGCAAATTCCTCGAACGCACGGTTGGCGATAACAGATATTCGAACTTCTCTCTGTAATGTATTATATTAATATGATATATTATGTAAAAGTGGTCAGTGAAATGTTTACTTACATTAATATACTAATGTTTTTTTTTAAATAAAATTGAAACTAAATTAGTTGTAACTGCTTTATACAAAGGGGGGTAAGGGGGGAGACCGATAATAACATCTAGTCGGCCCCAATTGTCAACCTCAACTGCTCGCGGTGCCCCCTGCTAGACAACGGACGATGTTCTGGCGACCGACCAGTGGCGGTATATCCATTACACACCCATCCGGGCAACCGGGTAGAAGAGGTTACAGCGGCCTTGGAGTTTCACATTACTCCTAAAATGTCTGGTGCAGAAGGCAAGGGGAAACCACTGCACTATTTTTCCCAAGAAAGTCGTTATGAAAGGTAGAAATAATATGAAAACGAAGTGGCCATGCGATCCGCTTAGCAACCGGCGCCATCATGTGTCCGGGACAGATGATGAGAAATTGGCTACCGGCCATGCGGGTGTAGGAAACCAGGCACCCCACGGAAATCATACTACTGGAACTTCTGTGAAGATGCGTCAGACCCAAAAGATAGGAACTTGGAATGTGCGTGGTCTACTCCAGCCAGGAAAGATGAAAATTCTGGAAGATGAGCTCTGCCGATGCAATATAAACATCTGTGGTTTATGTGAAACACACTGGAAGGGTAACGGTCACTTTCTCACTGAGACAAACGTCGTTTACTTCTCTGGGAATGACGATAACAGCAGAAACGGGGTCGCTTTCATTGTTCCAAAAAGTTCAAGGAACTGCGTATTGGGGTATGAACCTGTTAGTGATAGAATAATAAGTATCAAACTAAAGGCATCGCCAGCAAACTTTAACATCATACAGGTTTATGCACCAACCAGTGCCGCATGTAATGAGGATGTCGAATCGTTCTACTTGAAGCTAGAGACTACAATATCTAAGATTCCACAAAGAGAGTTGCTTATCATTATAGGAGACTTTAACTCTAAGGTCGGTTCCGATTCCCATCTACTAAGTCCTTGTTTGGGAAAGTATGGACTGGGGCAGCGTAACGAAAGAGGGGAACGACTAATTCAATTTGCAGCAGAAAACAACCTCGTTATATCAAATACTTTCTTCCAAAACCATTCTCGGAGACTTTACACTTGGATACCACCTGACGGCAATTATCGTAACCAAATTGACTATGTATTGGTTAGATCACGGTGGAAAACATCCATCAGGAACACCCACACATTACCAGGAGCCGACTGTGGTTCAGATCACCAACTGCTGATGGCCAAAATTCAGCTTAAGCTAAGAGCGGCCCGAAAAATTGTTCAACAGCGGAGGCTCGAAGTAAAGGATAGATCAAAATTTTTAGCCGCATTAGAAGAAAACTGGAATCAGTGGGCAATTGTGAACTCTAAGACCGAGTGTCCAGATAAAATGTGGGATTGCGCAAAGAACCTTATTAGTTGCGCTGTCAAGCAAACAGCTCCAACCTCAGGTACTCGTAAAAGGCAACACTGGATGAGTGACAGCACTCTGGCTCTTGTAAAGGAAAGACGAGAGATGAAGGCTACGGGAACAGATGTGAGGATATTAAATGAAAAGTCGGCAAACATACAGACAGCATGTAGGCGAGACCTTAACGCCCATTTTCAGAATATATGTGCAGAAGTTGAAAGCCATGCAAATAAATATGAATCTAGGGACCTTCATCAAAAAATTCGATCGATGACCCGATCTCTCTGTACCAAAACATGGGCTGTAGAGAACTCTCATGGTCAAACAGTGACAGAGATAGAAGCAATATCGGAAACTTGGAAGGAATACTGTCAATCACTGTTTGAGGACGTGGAATCACAGTGTTTTGCCTCGACAGAACCCATGGACGAAGAAAAAGAGCCAAACATTCTGAAGGACGAAATCAGAGCGGCTATAAAACATCTGAAGACTGGAAAAGCTACAGGCAAGGATTCGATTCCCATTGAAACAATCAAAGCCTCAAAAGAATATGGCGTCCAAATTTTTCATGCACTGTGTAACAAGGTGTGGCAGACAGGTGCGTGGCCGAAAGAATGGGCTCATAGTGTCTTTATTCCACTCCACAAGAAGGGTTCTACGAAAGTGTGTAGCAACTATCGCCTTATTGCGCTAATTCCTCATGCAAGTAAAATTTTGCTGCACATTATAAACGAGCGCCTGAAATCCTACCTGTCCAAGGAGATTGCTCCAGAGCAAGCTGGCTTTGTTAGAGGGAGGGGTACCAGGGAGCAAATACTTATCGTGCGACAAATTATTGATAAATCCCGCGAATACAATAAGGCAACATACATCTGCTTTGTGGATTTTTCCAAGGCATTTAATTCCGTCAAGTGGCCTAAACTTTGGGACACCCTGCTGAGAATGGGCACACCAAAACATCTGGTACATCTGCTCAGGTGTCTTTACGAAGGTGGTACTGCATCCGTAAGAACAGACGACAAGCTGTCAGATCACTTTCATCCTAGTGCTGGCGTTCGTCAAGGATGTATAATCTCCCCACTTCTATTTAACATCTACACAGAGCTAATAATGAGACGCACTCTCGAGAACTGGACTGATGGAATCTCAATTGGAGGGCTGAAAATCTCGAACTTACGATACGCGGATGACACTACCCTATTTGCGACTAGTATCGGCCATATGGAAGAACTCCTACAAAGGATGGAAAACGTCAGTCTTAAATTCGGCCTTCGGATCAATCGCAGCAAAACTAAAGTTATGATTGTCGATCGTATCAACAATAACTCGCCGGAAGTGACACAAATCGCGAAATGTCAAGTAGTCTAATCATACATTTATTTAGGAGCGCTAATTTCGAGCAACGGGGGCTGCATAGATGAAATAAAACGACGTATGGCGATATCTAGGACAGCCATGGATAAGTTGCGGAAGATTTGGAGGAACCGTAACATAACAAAAGCCACTAAGACCCGGTTAGTTAGAGCGCTTGTGTTCCCCATATTCCTCTACGCTTCGGAAACATGGACCCTGCGAGAAAGTGAGAAGAAGAGAATAGACGCTCTCGAGATGTGGTGCTGGAGAAGAATGCTGAGAGTGTCCTGGACCGAATTCCGGACCAATAAGTCCATTCTCGAAGAACTCCGCATCAAGCAACGTCTGTCATCTATTGTGCAAGCTCGCATACTCACTTTCTTTGGTCACGTGTCTAGACGTAATGATATCTCGATTGAACGTCTAGTGGTCCAGGGAAGAGTAGAGGGCACTAGAGCGCGTGGCAGATCGCCTATGAGATGGACAGACCAGGTGAGGGCTGCGGTGGATGTCCCGTTGCATGAGTGCACAAGAAAGGCAGCTGTTAGGGAGGAGTGAAGGCGTATTGTAGAGCGTGCCACAACACCCAAGTGACGACCACGACCGCTCTGTCAAGACCGTATCGACTGAGAAGAAGAAGAGCTTTATACAAGCTTATTTTTCTGTTAGTAAACCTTTATCAAGATTTGAAATTTTATTTTTGGCGGCGTTTTATTTGTATATGTGGTATAGGTAGTGTTTGGGGGTGTATTTATGACTGTGGGTGTATTTATGTACAAATAATCGATCTTGTATTAAGTGGGCAGAAACCAATGAAATTTGCACGTTTCTAAATACATATTTATAGCTCAAACCTTCGATAAAATGCAAGTTAATGCCATCTTTATACTAACCTATTAGCGGTAAAATAATGAAATCAATGATAATAGAGTCTGAAAATTTGTTGTTAGCAAATAGTAGGTATATGGCCGGAACTCGCAAACGATAGAATACTGGTTACCGGTAGAGATTTTTTGCACACAGATTTCGTTGCTCGTCAGCGATGACATCAGGGATTCTCCTAGCCAGAAACATAAAATTGATTGAATATGGCAAACGGTACCTAACTACCAGTGTTCATACTACCGTACACGGAGTTATTACAGGCAAAGTTCAGTCATAGATTTTGTTGCTGGTTGAAATTGACGTCAAGGATATTCAGAAACTTAGTAACAAAATAAAAATAATAAATCGGTTAAACTTGGCAACCGGTAGCTAAAGGTGACGAGTGAATGTCCGGCCGAGAGCGAGCGGAGCATGAGCCGAGCACAAATTCGTGTAGTGTGGAACGACTTTTTAATAACTTGCTTTCTTAATACGTCTTTCCGATTCAAAATTTCTAATCATTTTTAAAGCACTTTTTACTGACATCCTTAGAGTAACGCAATATGTAAATAATTACAGATCTCATAAGTCAACAAACTTGTGTTGCTTTTTTATTTAATTTTTAAATAATGCAAAAAGAGAAAACTTTTGAAAGATGTTGCGTGTAATTTATGCGTAGTGCTGGAATAACAAGTAGGTAGTCATCTTTGGTCTATTTATACTACGCCAAATATAGAGTATGAGTAAGTACACACGTATCTTCGTTTCGTTCGTATTTACTAAAAAAATGGCATCCCTATTGTGCTTATTATTTCACAAGATATGACATCTTTAATCTATAGTAATTTCATTAGCAATGTTATCAACAATCGATATACTGTTGTTTTATTTTTTTTTTTGTTGTTTTATTACTTTATTATATATCTAAAAAGATAAAGAAAATAGAACTAGACTCATTATCATTCAAACGATTGAGTGAATTGAATTTGAAATCAAGTGATGATTATATTACATTGCTAATGTTCGTGTCACAAACTTTAAAAATTTAAGTTTGCTAACTTTAAAAGTTAGAGATTTGTGAATACTAAGTCTTGACAGTCACACAGTTCATAAGCGAGTTGGATTTGAAGTCCAACACGCTTATGTGTACTGTGTAAAAAATTCAATACATTTTATGATATTTATATCATTTTTTTAAAATATTTATCATTTTCATTTATATATTTATACAGCCCAACCAGATGAGAACACTATATAAATGCCTCGTAATGCTTAATTTCATTAAAAACTTATAATGGTCAAGTTAAAACATTATCATGGTCATATAACTAAATTAACTAAAACAATATATTTTAATTTATACCGAGAGTGCAAAAATCTTAGGGATGGGCCGAATATGGATTTTATCGAATACGAATATTCGGCTGAATGTTCGGTAAAACTTTTACAGAACCGAATATTCGGCCGAACATTTTTCGGCAGGATAACGTCGAGAACTAACCAATTTATGTCGAAACTTGTTACCGTAAAGCGCGCGAGATTAGCGCCGGACCCTGCCTCTCGCTCCTCGCCATACCTGACATTCTGCGCAAATTGCCGGCACATGTTTGTTACGTTTTGAACATGTTATGTTTTGACTATTCTTGTGATAAAAAAGTATTTCGTTGTTTTATTCTTAGTGAAAATTGATAATTATATGATAAAAATGAGCGGCAGGAGATTTACAATTTGGACTTATTTTAGAGAAACTGACGACCAAAGCAATGGGTGATTTAGCCAAATATTCGGCCGAATACGAATATTCGGTAAGGCAGAAGGCTGCCGAATATTCGTATTCGGCCCATCTCTACACCGCAATAATCAAATACTTTTTTGTTTTAAGATGTCAAATGAAGCTTCTTTTAACGTTCATCGAAACAAATAAGTAATGTGAACCTGATTAACAAAAATCCTTAATGGTATTAAGTTATAGACTAAATGAATTTATCGAAACGTTTTTTGTTTCTCTAATGGCACATCAACTGAGTCGCCTAAGGAATGACAAAAATAGCAACAACCTTGTAAAGGAAAGAAGTTGAGAATAATATAGCTATCTTATATTGATATTGTACCACGTAAAACGTTATATAATGCATAAAGAATTCTACTACAAGTTTTGTTCCTATGCTAGGATTTGCATGTTTTTTTTTAATTTGTTTTAAACGTAACTAAAATATTAAGAAGAATTTTAAAAAAATACCAATTGAGTTTTCATGTAATTTTACAATTAAAGATGGATCAGATGGATTTTCTAAAATTTAAGTTCAAACGCCAGTGACGTCATTACAACGTTTTAGTGATGCGAGAACGCACGAGTGTTTTATTAGTTCACCCATGGTGAAATGATAAAACACTCATGTTTACGTTGTCAAAATTAAAAAATGTCATTGCATAATACAGGTTATATTATATTGTTTTGCTATTAGTTATGACACATAGTGATCCGAATATAGAAAATACAAAAGTACAGCATGATTGCGATTGGCTCACATCCTAACGGATATGATGACGTTACAACCAATCACCAGTCGTTTTTCTTCATTCAAAAACTTAATTATTATTTTTATTTAATAATTACTGAAAATGAATTGTTAGAAAAATTATAGTTAATTTTTATCAAAAACGGAATTGTTAATATAAAAATATTGAAATATACTTTAAATGAAATTACTCTTTCATTTATATAAAATACAAAAAAACATAATGCAACTTCTCTATTACTTTGAGCTGACATCAGATTGGGCTGATATTTGGTTTTATATATTATGTATTACTTTACTTTATGTATTACTTATATTTACTTTATGTATTACTTATATAACTTCAATAAAAATGCAAAAATATGCTGGAACTTGAAACGCCTATAAAAGCTTCTTTTATGTAGATTTTATTTTGCAGTAAATGTTAGTTTAGTTCCTTGTAGTATTAGTTTAGTAGTAGTTAGTTAGCCTGATAGTTTTTATTATAAAATAATAAAGATATTTAGTACCTCTTAATGCACTCAGACATGCTCTCCTCGTTCTGTATATGAACTCGGTTTTACAGCCGAACCCGCAAGTGCATCCTGTCCCATATATCTTGCAGCCATTCTGGGTTTGACTGGGCTCGCAAGCTCTTGCGTACCCTGAAAATTTAACAAAAATTTTACTCACAAAATAGAAATAAAATGATCGATTTTCTTAAACTTACTAAACCTTTTTTTAATTAAAATGTTTTTACTTAAACGGTACATTTATATTTTTCTTGAATAACATTTAAAGAAATAAACAATCAGCTATCGTCGTAGTCTTGAGCTACTGAATTTCATTACCCAAAGAGAAAATAGATTAAAAGCTTATAATTATAAAAGGACCCCAGTTTTTTGAACGTTGATATAGTATCTATAGGTCTTTGATATTATTCGCGTTAGGATGTTATTATCTATCATAATTTCCGTTTCTAATAAAACAACGCTTTGACGTTTTTTTTTTCAGAAATCTGCTAATTTACACATATTTTGATGAATAAAAGTAAAATAAATAAAGGAGACCGTTTTTTCTGGAAGCGAGGCATCCATATTAGTTTCGCACCGCATCTGCTTTTTGATTATTAATCGAGGATAGATATAGTTGTCCATGAGTCACAGTATCCATTTACCATCAGGTGGAATGTGTGCTCGATTGTCACCTTTATTCTATAAAAAAAGTTACGGCTTGCATACGTTCTACTACTGAGCACAGGGCTCCTATCTTCACTGAGAACGTTATAAAACGATGAGTGTTAATGGACTTCAAATTTCCTCGAATATTCTATTCTAATTGCTTGAACTAATAAAAAACTGCAATTAACAATTTCATTGATATCGATTACAGTATAAAAGAGTATGTTCTGAGTGACTGACTCATTTATCAACACGCAGACCAAACCGCTTGACGTGGTAATCTGAAATTTTGACAGTAGATGCCTTTAATGACATAGGCATCCACTAAGAAATTATTTTGAAAAATGTAACCTCAAGGGGATGAAATAGGGTGTGTAATTAATTTGTAAATTGGTGCACTCTAGAATTAAAAATAATAACATTCACATTTTGAATTTCAAAAATCTACCCTAAGGTGATCGTATCGTATTGAAGGTACGATCGTACGAGGAAAAGATGCGATTTCGTCGCACGACGAGATAAACACACATATTTCTTTAGAGTGTCGTAATTGAAGCTTGAAAGTCATAGCGTGAGCACAAGAAATGCTGAATAACAATCGTACGATGGGTTTGATCGTGTTATCGTGTAATCAAAGATACAAATCCCTTTTGAGTGTCCTAGTTGGTCACGCGTCATCGCACGAGCGATTTTGCAATGCCATTTGTAATTTTCAAAGCAATATTGCCCGGCAGTAAAAACTGTGCATCTCTGTAAACAGCCACTGTTGAAATTGCGCCGTTGCGGTGAATACGCGGTGGCATTGTGCGCTGTTGTAGCTCGGCGAGCTATGGAGAGGGCTATGCTCGGGGTTTCTCTGCGTGATAAACTTAGAACTGAGGATATTCGCATTGGAACCAGAGTTAATGACATAGAACAACGGATTAGTAAGCTGAAGTGGCAATGGGCCGGCCATATAGCTCGAAGAACCGACAACCGTTCTGGAAAAAAGGTTCTCGAGTGGCAGCCTCGTAGCCGGTAGGCGAAGTGTAGGACGACCCCCTACTAGATGGAGTGACGACCTGTAAGACATGCAGGAAGTCGATGGATGCAGGTGGCTCAGGACCGTGCTATGTGGCATACCTTGGGGGAGTCCTATGTTCAGCAGTGGACTTGTGAAGGACTGTAATGATGATGATGATGATTGTGTGATGGTCATCGCGCGGGATATTACGACACCTGTTGGACCATCGCACGATTTTTTCATCGTGTTATGAAATCGCATCGTTCACTCGTACGATCGACAGCCAATTAGGGTGAAGCCTTACGGCCTTAACACGAGGGTGAAAACTTTGTATCAAAAATATTGTATTATATTGTAAGATGCACGGTCCAAAAAGCCAGACATAGAAATCTGAAATTTGAGTGGTAGCTACCTTTTACGGCGTAGGGCATCCACTAAAAATAATTTTGGAAAATTATATTCTTAGAATGCATGCATGTTACAGTTTCTATTAAACTTTTTATTTTACGGTGCGATTGACTCAAAACTTACTCTCTAAATAAAATAAATAACGGCTTTTAACATTTTTCAAAACAACCCCTTACGCAGGCCCAGAAGGTGTATGTATGTACCTATGGAAACACGTGTTTCACTATTTTTGACAATTCTACCCTAAAGGACTTTCGATTACAAACTAAGTAACGTGTTTAAAGATTTTTGGATACTCCACCTCTAAGGGAAAAAAGTGGTAAATTATTTTTATGTGGCTATTATATTCAAGAACTGAAAGTAGCCGCGCTAACTACGACATAAGGACGTCAAACACCTCAATTCCTCTCGTGACCATGGGTGCTGTTAGCACGCGATAAAATCCGTAAAAGAAATAGTTTTCCTAGTCTGTAGTTTTCGCGTAAATATCAGAAATCATTAAATCTAAACAAAAAAAAAATGGATTGAGCACGTCGAATATGTAGAGATAAGGAGATTCGCAAGAGTACAGTAGCAGAAAATGGTATATTGAAGAAGGAGGATTAATGTATTGGAGTACGAAGAGAAAGAATGTAAGAGTGGTTTTCTTAAGAAAGGCCTAAGTCAAGGTTAAACTCTATATTCGTTATCATTCCGAAATATGAGAAAATTACTATGTGATAAGCTCTCGGTCTGGAAATTACAACTTCGCGGGGCGAAAAACTAGTAATTTTATATTGTAGTTTCAATTAGGTTTTTTTGTTGTAGTTTAATTTAATCAGTAAATTATATTATAAATAATATATTATTTAATTACTATTATTATTTCTATTTAATCGTTAAATAGCGGTGTAAGAATATCCGCTACACCATATCGTTTCGTGGGTGTAGTAAAAGGCGGCAGAGGAAAACTAACAAGGAGATGGGCATCATCGTCTTCCTGATAACAACTCAAAACAATAAATACCTGCGGTTGTCAACCCCGGCGGGCCAACCGTGCAACTATGGCAAAATCCCACCAGTGAGAGGCAATATGTAATGGATGGATTTAATATTTGCTGTACTACTTTTGCACTTTTTCGAACTTTGCTAGTATATGTACCTAGTTAATTAATAATAAAATTATATTTAAAAAGGGCTTTTTTCCGAGATTTTTCAAAATGCGTATTTTTAGTGTAAATACTTTTAGTGTGGATCTGTGCTTGATTGCTTTGGTTTTATTTTAAGAAAATGATAATTTGCTTAATTATTTTTATTTAAGACCACCTACTAAGGCCACAAGAGAGCCTTTGTAATGGAAGATTGAATATTTAGGCGCGGATTATCTATACATAATATTACTAATTATTATTACTATAGTAAATCTGTCGAAAATTACGCCTGTAATTCTAATAATACCTAAAAAAAAGGGGTTCTGAAGACTAATATTAGAGAATAATATAATCAATGTAATCACTGTATTATGTATTCATTATATTTACTAGACATTTTTCCATGAAAGGTATATAGGTAAGTAGTTAGTGAATCTGGGCAATATAGTATTCAATAATTTTATTTCGATTAATATAAATTCTAAAAAGGAGGGTTTATTTCATATGAGAAATAGTTTTAGGTTAGGAGGTAAAGGCCTAGTGTAGGATACTACTTTCGTACACACTATTTCTTTCTCATCCCAGGGGTACCTCGTTTAGAGCCGGGGTGGCATCAGAGGCAGCTGAATTAAGTAAGTGGCGCAAATATGAGTCCCTGAGAGATGACTACATATTTGTGCCATTTGCTGTGGACACGGTCCGCGAGGACCACATGCGGTGAAGTTCATAAAGGCACTCTATCCGCAACTGGTCGTTGCTGCTGGTGATAAGAGGGCTGGTTCTTTTCTCGCTCGAAGGTTAAGTGTTAGGCAAGGAAACATAGGCAGCGTTCTTGGCACGATACCAAAGGGAGTAGGACTGTATGATAATTTAAATCATTAGTTTTTTTTTAATTATGTTTTAAAGTTTTTTAATATTGATTATATTTTAATAAAAATTACATGTAGTTTTAGGTCACTTTTTTAATAGAATTTTTAGTTACTTGCCTGAAAACGGAATATAAACGAGGAATTTGTGAAAAAATAACGAAAGTGATTTTCTAATTTTCCTTCAAAGGGCTTTATATATATCCGCTCACACGATTATCTTTAAAAATAAACCGAATCTCACGCAGTTATATTTGGCCATCACTAAATTGTTACATTAATTAAATTCATATTATAATTGATAGAATCAGGTGTTACTTTGCGGAAATTCATTATAATAAAGGTATTAATATTTAATTCGCAACCATCCGCTTAATTAAATACAATGATGTTTCTTACCTGGATTGAAGAGCACCTCCCGCGATTCCTCAACTTATTTCTTAGCGGTCAGCCGCTGTAGAGTATGCATCACCTGAGGATGCCTCGTGTAGAGGCGAAACACGTGTCGTATTATCGTCGATGGTGTGTCTTTTCTGGAATAGTGGTGTTGGGAGTGGTGGTGCCGGGAGTAGTGGTATTGGGAGTAGTGGTGCTGGGATTAGTGGTGACGGGATTAGTGCACGCAATTGAGGGAGGCGGGAGGTGCTCTTCAATCCAGGTGAGACACATCATTGTATTTAATTAGGCGGATGGTTGCGAATTAAATATTAATACCTTTATTTAATTCATATTATAAATAAGACAAATATCAATCAACCACTTGAATTAGATAGATGTGACATACATATTATAGAGAACTGATATTGTTAATTTTGGCATGGAATACTAATGAAGTTGGATATCGAAGTCGAAAGAAGAAGAAGAAAGCGTGAAAAGCGGTATTTACTTTACGTAAATACCCACATAATATTTTAGTATACAAACGTCCTAACTCCTACAGGAAGGAGCGTTGTTTATGTTTATGAGAATCATCAAATACCATTTATGTTATCAATTTTTCGATTTATCAAAAGAAAATTTTCATTACATTATCATTAGGTAAACACGCACAAAATAAAACACGATTTTTTTAAATTT